ATTACTTTTTTCTTATAAAGGGATTTCTAGTGATCTCTGTAATTTGTTTGTTTTATCTGATGTTTAAAGAATCTTACAGATTTTGCTTAGAATCTTACAGATTTTGTCTCATGTTTTGTGCCTTGCAATGCATCAAGTGATGAGTATTTTGTTGAGTTTTTAGATTTTGTAAATTTTTAAATGTTATTGTAGAGGTGATGCACAGAGGAGTTACAGTTACATAAGTCTGATTAAAAAGTCCTTAAACAGTGTCACCCCTTTACTTGTGATTTTGTAATTTTATAACTAAAAAGATTTGGTTTTGTTATATAGGGTCAGCTTAACATCTTTGCAATTTTTCTTAGTTTATGAAAATGGATGATACTAGTTTTGAGAGAAATTAAACCACTGTGAGGCTTTGCTTGATATTCCTGGTTCTGAAATCTAGATAGCTTGATTTTGGCAATGAGCATGATTTGACCTCTGTAGAAAGGGTTAAACTAACTTGAGTTACCAGGAAGCACCTGACGTGTTAGAAACCCACCTCAGATTACTTCTCAGCTCATTTAAAAAAATTTAAATATTCGATAACATAACATGTATAAGGCATTTTATATCTTAATACTGTGATATCTTAAAAAAGTGAACATAAACTTACTTCATGTTTGTTTTTCAAATTAATCTTTTGTAAAGAGTTATGGTATATTTCCAAGTATTTGGGGTTTATTCTTATGTTATATAATCACTGTATAACTTAATGTCAAATTCTTGTAATGATATTAGCATTGAACAAAAATATTTAAGCTTTTATCTATTACTGAGACAGGCCATCCAACCATTTTTGTGTGGGGAGTGATTACAAGTGGTAGTTTTTTTGTGTGTGTTTTGGCATTCTATATATGAATGTAAGTCACATATTGAATTCTTTGTTGTTTGAGATGACTGTTTAAGAGAGCAATTTGTTTCAAAGTTAAATGACCCAGATAAGTATTGAACCTATAAGCTTAGCTTTGTTCATTATCATAATGTTCTGATCAACAAAGCAGTTCACCAGAGAACTGTGCCATATTCTCATTTCCTCTTGAAACTAGGCTTTTTAGAGAAGGTACAAGCATGCATATGTGTATGCATGCATACACACACACCAATTCAAAAAATTGTGTGTGATTATTAAGGTAGTGTTAAAAATTTCATGCTTTTATAATAGGTCTAAAAATAGTCCAATATAATTTCAAAGGTATATGGTATACACATGGATGATTAATTCTTTTAGAAATAAACTTCAATTATTAGGCAAGAAAATTGCTTTCTTTTTTTTTTTTTTTGGTCCGGTCGTGAGGCCTGAACTCTGGGCCTGGGCACTGTCCCTCAGCTCTTCAGCTCAAGGCTAGCACTCTACCACCTGAGCCACAGTGACACTTCCGGTTTTTTCTTTTTTGCTTATGTGGTGCTGAGGAATCGAACCCAGGGCCTCGAGCATGCAAGGCAAGCGCTCTACCACTGAGCCACCTTCCCAGCCCGAAAATTGCTTTCTTAAAAGTATTTATTTAGTTTATATAAGTTTATGCTAGCTAAGTCTGAATTTTTTCTTTTTCTTTTTCTTTTTTTTTTGGTCCGGTCGTGAGGCCTGAACTCTGGGCCTGGGCGCTGTCCCTCAGCTCTTCAGCTGTAGGCTAGCCCTCTACCACTTGAGCCACAGCGCCACTTCTGGCTTTTTTCCTTTTGCTAATGTGGTGCTGAGGAATTGAACCCAGGGCCTCTTGTATGCAAGGCAAGCACTCTACCACTGAGCCACCTTCCCAGCCCTAAGTCGGAAAATTTTTCACTATACCTCTGTCTAATATTCCCAGTCTTGTGTCTTTTACTTATTTAGTTTATAAATTGCTAGAGATGATTGAATCGTCAAAGTGTGGGATGGCCAAAGTTGACTAAATGTGAAATTAAATGTGTAATTCTGTGTTTAGTTTCAGAATATATTTAAATTAGGCCATATATATATATATACATATATATATATATATATATATATATAGTTTTTGCAAAGCTGTGCAAAAAGTAAGAACCTTTTTTGTTGTTCATGATAGGATGTAGTTTAGCTATAAAAGACATTTAAAAAAAATATATATATATATATATTTGTTGTTGGTTGTGGGACTTAAGCTATGGGCCTGGGCGCTGTCCCTGAACTCTTCAGCTCAAGGCTAGTGCTCTACTACTTGAGCCACAGTGCCACTTCTGGTTTTCTGGTGGTTAATTGGAGATAAGAGTCTCATGGACTTCCTTGCACAGGCTGGTTTTGAATCGTGATCCCCTCAGATTTCAGCCTCCTGAGTAGCTAAGATTACAGGCATGAGCCACTGGACCGGCACACGGCAAGACAGAATTTTAAAGACAAGCAAAGAGAACTAGATCCAAACTCCATTTGGACGAGTCCCAAGTGGAACTTGCAATATTCTAAGTCAGTAGAGGAAAGTCTCTTTCTGCAGGCTGAACATTTCAGATCTGTCAAATGTGTAATCCAGAGAGTAAATTCATTCACTGTATTTTCAGTGATATTTAAAACTTAGTTTATAAATAGAACCATTCTGTTCTAGACAAGTTGACTATATTATAGAACATTTAAAAAGCAACCACTAAGTTAATTCTTACAACAGTGGAATTTAGCACTAACCTTTGAATCTTATGTAGTTTACATGTTAGCCCAAATCTGTTGATACCTTTGGAGCTTCCCTTTATGTCCAATGTGCAAATGTTGCAAAATTTCATTAGGGGATTTTAGATTAAGTTATTGAACACATGTTTGATCCAAAATTAAGCTCTTTGATGTCTACTGAGATATAAATGTGTAGTTCTACTTTAATGAGCTTATAGTAGTTAGTGGTTTATTTTGTGTTTGATGATGCCCAACATGTTTATAAATAAATGTATTTTATGGTAGAATAAAAATGGAATAATTGTCATTTCTTTTTTTTTTTTTTTTTTTTTTTGGGTCCGGTCGTGGGGCCTGAACTCTGGGCTTGGGCGCTGTCCCTCAGCTCTTCAGCTCAAGGCTAGCACTCTACCACTTGAGCCACAGTGCCACTTCCGGCTTTTTTTCTTTGTGCTTATGTGGTGCTGAGGAATGGAACCCAGGGCCTCAGGCATGCAAGGCTTGCGCGCTCTACCACTGAGCCACCTTCCCAGCCCCAATAATTGCCATTTCTAAGTGAAATGATTATATAAAATTTTCTCTTACTTGTAAACCACTCTTTGTATGGGCCTATTTTCTTTTTTGTTGTTGTTTTATGTAGGTCCTGGGGCTTGAACTCAGAACCTAGGTGCTGTCCTTAAGCTCTTTTTGCTCAACGATACTGCTCTGCCACTGTGAGCCATAGCTCTACTTCCTGGACTTGTTCCTAACATCTTTTTAGTGCTAGAGAAAAATCAATTCCTTAGTTGCTTAAAATACAGCAAAATAAGAATTATAGGTTGGGGATACCTCAGTGGTAAAGTCTTTGCTTAGCATGTGTAAGGTTGTGGATTCACACTAAAATAAAAAAAAAAAAAATAAAGAATAATTTACTCAGCTGCTTGGTTTATTTTAGTCAAGGTATTTGTAAATAACTTTTCTATATATATACATATTCATGCACATAGTAGGGAAGTTATTTTCTTGTTTAGTTAGCAATTTTAGTTTATGTTTAATGTTGGAAGATTTTTTTTTGTAGAAAAGCTTGTTATATTTTCTTCCACATTGATTAAAACTGTTTTGTGCCACTTAAGCTACCCAAGTACTAGAACAGAAATATGTGAATATACAAAATGGATCAGTTGGCTGGGAATGTGGCTTAGTGGTAGAGTGCTTGCCTAGTGTGCATGTAGCCCTGGGTTCAATTCCTCAGTACCACATAAGCAGAAAATGCCTGAATTGGCACAGTGGCTCAAGTGGTAGAGTGCTAGCCCTGAGCAAAAGAAGCTCAGGGACAGTGCCACGGCCCTGAATTAAAAAAAAAAAAAAAAAAAGCATCAATTTGCATTCTTGTTGTGTTTTTGTTTGTGTCAGTCCTGGGGCTTGAACTCTGGGCCTGGGTGCTGTCCCTCAGATCTTAAGCTCAACACTAGCACTCTACCACTTGAGCCACAGCACCACTTCGGGCCTTTTCTGCTGATGTGGTGCTAAGGAATTGAACCAGGACCTCTTGCATGCAAGGCAAGCACTCTACCACTGAGCCACCTTCCCCTCCCCTCAGTTTGCATTCCTAATAAATATTACTTGACTGCCAGCTTTATTTCAAGTTCTCCTTGCCCCCTGAAGTGCTTATAAGTCAATAATAGTATATTTAGTTTGCAAAATGAGAGTAGTTTTTCTGGTCTTTCTTTTTTGTATATTTTGAGTTAGGATTAATTGAACATTTTTTTAAATTTTCAGTAGACATACACAATAAAAACAACCCATTTAACTGTTGTGCTTTCTTTTTTTTAATTTTTATTTTTATATTGTGCTTTCTTTTAGTGAATTGGTTGACTTTTAGATAGTGTACAGCCTTGTACAGTTTTATGATATCCTTTATACAATCTAAAAGTAAACATGAACATAATAGAAGCTGGAAACAAAGCAAGTATGATTTCTTTGTCCTGGGAAATGTAGTTCCTATTCTAAGTCATGCCTTTGTTAGGGTCAGGATCATTTTCAGTGTATATCAACTTTTTTTTCTGTTTAAAGAAAGCTATGTTACAAAAGCTGTGGCAAATTTTGACATTAGTGATCATCCATGATTCTATTATGCAGAGAAAATTACTATTAATGTTGAAATATATACATTTCCACCTCTTTCTTTGAATGTACAATGTTTTAAAATTTTTACAAAAATTAGAACTATAACTTACACTATTTTCTCCCTTCCCCCAAATCTGGATATTGGTCTCCTAGTATAGAACATTAAGGTTGATTCTTTATGGTATTACTATTTTAAATAATAGTGAGATGGACATTTTTGTACATTTGTCTTTGATTGCATCTGTTTTTTTCTTTCCCCCTTTAGGATAGATTTCCAGAAGTGGGATAACTGGATCAGAGGGGTGGTTATCCTGTATAAGAGTGTGTGTCTCACTGCACCTTCAATGCCATTGAGTAGGTCAGTTTTTACAATCTTTGCCAATTTGATAAATATCTTTTATATTCGTGGGTGGTAATCACAGAACCCTCATAAATACTTTTTAAAGCCATTATAGTGTGTGAGTAGTAATTTTGTAGTTTCTTCTAAAAGGTTGGTTTGATGGGTATAAAAATTACTTATGGAATCAATTTCGTCATTAACTAAAAGCACTATAAAATTGAAATTGAACATTTTTTTCAGAGAGAAATAGGATTTTGATGTTCTCTCACTAAAATAACAAACATGAAAAAGCTTGTTTTATAGCATGTAATGTTATGGATGACAAAATTATTTCAGATAGCTGAGGGGCAGTAATCACATGGTACTAACTTTATAAAGAGATGACTTTGGAAGTAGGCAAATCCTTCCTTGACTACTTACTAAGTGCATGCTTTGAGATAACTTATAGAATACTATGTGTTTTGATATTTCTAAACTTTGAGCTGTCCCCTCCTTTTTTTTGGTGGTTGTACTGGAGTTTGAGCTCAATGGCTTTGAGATTATAGGGATAATTGCTGTTACTTGAACTATGAGTGTCTAGCCTTTTAGTTTTCTTTTCAGATAGTGTCTCTCACTTTTTGCCTGGGGTCAACCTTGAACCTGATCCTCCTACCTATGACTTCCTGTCTAGCTGGGATAACAGGCACTTGACAGAATACTTGGCTGTTTTGTTGAGGTGGAGTCTTTCTAAAGTCACCTGGGCTGGCCTCACCTTAAATGGCAATCCTTCTGATAACCTGCTTCCTGAGTAGCTGGGTTTGCAAATGTGAGTCTCTGCACCTGGCCTAAACCTTGGCTTTCTTATCTGTAAAGGAAGAATAGTGATACCCACATCACAGGATTGTTGAGAGGATTAGAAACCATATGTAAGAATATTTGGCACATAGTATTTTCGGCAAGCTGTTTTTGCAGCATTCACAAGTGCTAGTGGACTGCACATATCAATTAAATGAGCAGAGTGACAGAGTGACTTTGTTAAGCAGCATAGAAAGTTAAGAAGCATAGTAAAATATGTAGCAAAAAATAATTAGGAGCTGAGTATATGCTCTTTACTATTGCTTTTATGTATTCCTGTTCTCCCCTTTTAATTTTCCCATTAAAAATATGTATATGAGTTGGCAAGTGCCATTTTAACACATTCTAATACCTAATTCTAGGTTTTAGTGTACTTTACAATGGCTGAATTAAATACATAAGTGAGTTGGCCTGAAAGTGATAATAATATTTCTTTTTGAATGATAAGGAAATTAACATGAATGGTGATTATCTACTTGGTATTGTCCACTCAAGAAAAGAAGCAACCCTCAATTTCTTTAAAATATAGGCTGGGATCCTTCTAAGACATTGTATTTTTTAAAACAGCAATTGCATAATTTCTTAACCTTTCTTTTATTTATTTATTTTTTTGCCGTTCATGGGGCCTGAACTCTGGGTCTGGGCGCTGCCCCTCAGCTCTTCAGCTCAAGGCTAGCGCTCTACCACTAGAGCCACAGCACCACTTCCGGCTTTTTCTGTTTATGTGGTGCTGAGGAATCGAACCCAGGGTCACCGTTGAGCTACCTTCCCAGCCCCTTTCTTTTATTTTTATATATTGTCTAAATTTAGAAATTAAGCCCTTATTATTACAGTGGGGTTTTTTTCTTCCATGTTGAGAATCAAAACCTAGAGCTTTATGAGTGCTAGGCAAGTATTTTATCACTGAAATACATTCTTCGCTTACTGTTTTTGTTCAGATCTCCTTTTCAAAGGTAATCTTACAATTTAAAAGAAAAGAAAAGAAAATGTAGCACATAGTGTTAGGAATTGTATATATGTGACTTTTTAAAAGTGTTCTCTTTTGGTTGTGTGAAATTGTAAAAACCCAGGTCTGGTCAACTAAATGATACTTCATTTTACTAAGGTAACCTCAGATATGTAAATGTCAGGAAGAAAGTGGAGCAGTGTTAAAATGGATTAACCTGTATCCCTATTTAAACATTTTGTTTTTTCCCTTCCCCTCCCCAAGCTAGAGAAGTGTCTATACAAGATGCAGGGCACTGACATCAAGTACAGTGAAAACAGGGGTTATACCTTGGGGGAGGAACATACAAAGCAACAACACTATGTTGAAAAACGAACTTTACAATTTAGGCGGGGAGGAGAGAAGGGAGAGTGTAGAGTGTAGTTGTGGAGGTGGGAGGGAAGGAAGGGTAGGGGAAAAACAAAGGAGGTAACAATGCTTGATAGGAAATGTACTCATGACCTTGCTCATGTAACTGTGACCCCTCTGTACGGTATTTTTACAATAAAAAAACGCATTTAAAAAAAAAGTGGAGCAGTGTGAAAATCGAAAGACTGACAGGTTTGGATTGAATTTTGAAGAAAAAGCTCTTTGAAATGGTGATATTTAATGTAGAATCTGAATGAGAAAATGATACACATGTAATGGTTTGCAAGAAGAGTGAACCAGGCAAAGGGCCCATTTGGTACAAAGACTGTGAACTAGGAAGCAGATAGTCATATATTTGAGAAATAACAAAAAGCCACAGACTGGAAAAATACTCGTAGATGAGGTTGGTAGGGGGAAAATATTAATTACAGAGATCCTTGGGAAATGGGAATGATTTTGTTACAATAATATAAAAAGAAGGTGGATAACATTTCTTTGTAAATAAATATGTAACTTCTAAATTTGAAGGTGGCATAATGGCTGACAACAGATCTATAGGGCAACTGGAAGTTTAGTTAGATATACATATAAGGAAAGACTTGGTGCGTTTAGACAATTATGATTTATAAGTTATGTTTTTCCCAGGGTCTGTGGAGATAAAAATGAATTATTTTTAGTATTGCAAAAAGCCTAGTAAACTTGTACATATGTTCTCAAGAGATTTAGACAAGCAAGATACGATCTTTTCTTGGACTAATAATTAAGTAAACTCAAGACTTTTGGTTATACCTTTTTAAACATTGTGGTGGTTTGCAGGTTGGTAATGAAGTAAAAATGTTGTGATTCCTGCTTAAGAACCTAGGGGGATATCGCATTAGTGGTAGAATGCTTGTATAGGATGTTAAAGGCTCTGGATTCTGTTCCCAGCACTGGGCAGAAGGTTGAGGATGAAAAATGGTAGAGGAAGACCTGAGTTTCATTAGTTTTTAAATCTTTGAAAAATTTGAGAGTTCTAATTAGCCTTTACTCATTTGACTAATAAAATAGCAGTGTAGTTTGTAGAAAAAGCTCTTTGAAGGTATAAAATCCATGGAGAATAAAAGATTTTTTAAACAGGTTAGTAACCACTGAAAGCGTGATAGTCTCTGGAGGAACCTAGGAGAGAGAGGGAGAGTAGGAGAGTAGACCTTTTTCATCCTATTTAAATTGCACAGTAAATCTATGAAGTAGATATTGATATCACCCGATTTTTACAGGTAGTAAAACTCAATAATTGTGTAATTTATGAAAATTCACACTTCTTTAGTTTTATATAGAGAACCATGCTGATGCCAAACTTACAGAAAGATTAGCTGCAGTACAAGTTGGAAAATCAATAAACATTTCTGTCCTGCTTACATAAAACATGAATGAATGGGTAAATAAATGACTACCACTGTTGCTATAATTTCTTCTTCAGTACATTGCACCATTTTTTTTTTTTTCTTGTTTGGGTCCAGTCGTGGGGCCTGAACTCTGGGCCTGGGCGCTGTCCCTCAGCTCTTCAGCTCAAGGCTAGCACCCTATCACTTGAGCCACAGCACCACTTCCGGCTTTTTTTTTTGCTTATGTGGTGCTGAGGAATGGAACCCAGGGCCTCAGGCATGCAAGGCAAGCGCCCTACCACTGAGCCACCTTCCCAGCCCCATTGCACCATTTTCTTAGATGGGTCTAGAAAGTTGTTCAGAAATAAGTGGCTTAAGCTCTTTTCTATCTACTACTCTGAAATTTAAATTACTGATAATAAATTACACTAGAAATGTTTAGGCAGATAATAAAGAACAGACAGACATTGTAACTTTCTCTTAGCTTTTGCTTACTAAGTAATTTGTAAACTTCAAATTAAAAAAAATCTGCAACCAAGGTACAACTGTTTTTGGTTCTGTTTGTAACTCTGAATTATTTAAAGTTTATTTTAGTATTCTGAACTGAGGTTATAGAATAACAAAGGTTTTCAGCTGACAATAATTGTCTGAAGTGATAGAATAACATTAAGTTCTTCAGTTGACAATAGTTGTCTGACCTTTACACTGGTGTATGTGTGTAATAGAGTTACATGTTCTTTCTGTCTTCTATTAGTCTATCAAATTGTGTAGTTTGTTTGGAAATATGAACTGATTATTAGGGTTTTAAAATAAGTGTATAACAGATCACCTGAAATCATGTTTAACCAGGGAGAACAGTAGTATATCTCTAAACCCCATGTTTATGACTTGTCTAAACCTTCAGATTAATACCTCGTAAATTTAATTTTACAGTTATTTAACCTGATTTTTTAATTAAACATAACTGAGTATAGTTATTTAAAATGCATACTTACTCTAACACAACTTAATTACTAGACAGGGATCCACTCCTATATTCATTTAAGTTGTGTTAGAGTAAGGTTGAGAAAGGTAAGGGACTATGATACACAATTTACCATTGGAGACTAGACTAGATAGAAAAAGAAACCTATTTTCACAAAAAGGAGAAATGAAAGCTAAAAGGGGTTGAATTAATGTAGAAGGAGGTAGGATACTTTGGATGAGATATTATAGCTTAATTAGATTTTCAAGAGAATATGAATATGATGTGTCTATCACTGTTGTGGCAGTGTAATGATTACTATTCCTTGAAGTGTGCAATCTGTCTCCTTGGTTTGAGTTGGAAGTACAATAAACCTAGATAGAATGAAGAGGGTTGTTTTTGTGAAAACTGAACATATTTTAATTTATTTTGAGTTGTCTGATACTAAAGCTATAATTTTACAAGTCTATAAAAATAACTTTGTAGGTATTTTGGTTCTTGA